GAGAGAGAGAGAGAGAGAGAGGAAAAAGAGCGCAGAGCCAACCACCTGACCCGCGCGTGGCGCAGCTCTGGCTCGCTCTGACTTCGGCAACAGAAGGAGAGCCGCCCAGCCTTTCCTTTTCTGTCAAGAGCTTTCCCCCTCCCGCGCACCCTCGCTGTTTCGTTCCAACGCGCATGCGCCATGACAACAGCCCCTCCCCACTTTTAGTTGACGTCTCTTGTCACGCGCGTGGGCAGTCTCGCGAGGTCCCATGCTTTTCTCTCTCTCTCTCTCTCTCTCTCTTCCGGCCCCTCACGCATTCGCCGCCGCCGCTGCTACACAAGTCAAACCTAAGCACGTGAGAGACAGAGAGTGAGAGGCAGAAACAGAGGCAGCGCCGCGGGCGGATCCGAATGGCTTACGGACCTTTCCTTGCCCGCTTCGTTTCCAGCGGTTTAGCGGCGTCACTGTCTCCTAGTGCGCAGGCGCTCCAGCGTTGGTGTTACCCAACCAGGAGCCGAGGCTCCTCCTCAGCATTTTCGCTCGCCTGGAAGCGGGAGGGGGCGGCAGCGGCGGCGGCAGCAGCGCCAGTACGCGAGAGCGGGAGGAAGAGAAGGAGGGCAAGGTGGAGCGCGCGTGCGCAGTGGGCGCCCCGTTCTCAGAGTCTACCGGTGGAAGGAGGGCGGCAGCGGCAGCCCCAGCAGGACAGCGCGCGGTCGCGTCAGGCCCTCTCCCTTGCTTTCTCTTGGTCGGGGCAGGCGCGGCGCGCGCAGCCTCCTCCTCCTCCTCCCATTTTCCGTCCCCTCCGCCTCCTGTCAGCGGGAGGTTGCTGCCGCCCCCTCAGTGCGCGCGCGCGCTGGGCCTCCCCGTTCGCCTCAGCAGCCTCAGCAGCAGCAGCAGCAGCAGCAGGAGGACTAGCCACCGCCTCCTTTTCAACCTCCACCGCCGCCACCACCAGCCTCACCACTACCATCTCCTCCTCCTCCTGTCCAGTTGCTACGATGCCGGAGAAGCGGCCCTTCGAGCGGCTCCCGGCCGAAGTGCGCCCCATCAATTACGGGCTGTGTCTCAAGCCCGACCTTGTTGACTTCACCTTCGAGGGAAAACTCGAGGCCGCCGTGGAGGTAGGCAAGCAGGCAGGCAATGCGGAGCGGCGAAGGGTGGGCAAGTAAACGGAGCGCGGACCGGGGGGGAGGGGAGGGAAGGAAAGGGAGAGATCGGGGTGTGTGTCTATGGGTGCAGGGCTGAGTGGCTCGTCTTGTGAAGGGGAATACCAGGAAAAATGGGGTGGGGAAGGGCGGAGAGGTGTTAGAGGAGAGATATTGTGTGTGTGGGGGCGTATAGGGATCGTGGGTTGTTTGGGGGAAGCAGCGCAAGAGTTCCGGGTGAGGACATGGCTAAGGAGGCCTTGGTGTGGAAAGAAAGGTAGGAGTGAAGGGGCCGTCAGAAAGGTGACCAGTGGTTGAGGGCTTCACCAGAGGAGGGGCAGGAATGAGGATGTCGTAAAAAGGTAAGTAGTGGGTGTGGAGCTTGGGAGGCCTTAGGTGTGCGATGATGGTTAGAAGTGGAATAAATGGAGTGTGTATGTGTGTGAGAGAAAATCGGATCAGGATGATTAGAAAGGGTGTAGGAAGGAAGAGTTTGGATGAGTGGCTCAGTTTTTTTGTCATGGGAGAAAATGATAGTTTTCGGTGTACTGCTCCCTGCTGACTTAAGTCCTGTCTGTGTGTGTGTGTGTGTGAGTGAGTGAGTGAGAGAGAGAGAATGAATTACATTCCTCTCCACCTATCAGTGGTGTCTGCAATTATTTTGAGATCTTGTATTGTGTGTATATTTTGAGGAATGGATCTCTGAAGTTTCCCTGGAGATGGAGCCCTTCTGAAACTGTAGAGGATGGACATGTTATTTAAGTATTTCAGGAAAGCAGATTTTGTAAACATGGAGTAGGAGCGATACTTCTTTAGAAGAGTAAGTGTGGGGGGAGGGGTAGTTTACCTAAGATAGTGGGTTGTGTTGACATGAAACAGCAGTTCCCTTAGTTTTATTCTCAGTCTGTGAGAGGTAGAGATAGTCTCCTAAGAATGAATGGAAGGGAATCCTGTTTGCAGGTGTTCAATCTGGAAGGGAGGAAAAATCTTCTGTAGGTTATGCAGGAAGGGAAAGTTGACTTTAGGACCTTGTGTGTCCCTTCACCTCTGGCTTTGGAATTTGAGGTTTAGTTGTCATGTCTGCCTTCTTGAATTTTAGATGAAGATAATGTATTGCTTTAGAAAATGGCATTTGTAATAGAGGGGTATACTGTAATGTGTAAGGATTGGAGAGCACATGGATCTATGCCATTATTTGGGGAAAAGTCAACCATGAACTTGCCATACCTTCTTGGCAGAGGTTGGAGAATGTATTCTGCTATGGAAGCCTGCTGTTTTTCTTCTGTTTAAGTATGCAGAGTCTGAGGATTACTCCTAGCGAGTATCACAATAGAGTCATGTTTGTAAAGCTTGGATCCAAGTATTAAAGTGTTGGGGCTCCTGAGTCCTGTTACATTATAATTCAACTTCCTTAATATGAAAAACTAATATGAACATTAAAAGTGATTATTTAAAAGGTTTGTCAGAAGATATTGGAAGGAGGAGTCACTCTGACTTTTTAATTTGGTTTACCATGGGAATTTTCACTTTTTTATTCAAGTTGCCAGCTCAATTAACATATCCAGATGAAAGCCAAAACCAAAATTGAGTTGCATTTTGCAACTGTACTATTAGGAAGAATGGCCCCTGACCAGGAGGTAGAACACTAAAGAGCTTTTTGTAAGGTCCGTTGTGTTGTTTTAAAATGTAGTGCATGTCTTTTAGTGATTTGCATGTCCATATGCTTTCCAGATGTTTTCAGCCTATTGGAGGTGGAGGTAAGAGATGTAAGGAGAGCTATTGCTTTTAGTCTTGCTCTTTGTGTATTATAAATTTTCTACCATGTTTCCCCGAAAATAAGACAGGGTCTTATATTAATTTTTGCTCCAAAAACGCAGTAGGGCTTATTTTCAGGGATGTTTTATTTTTTTCCATGTATAACAATCTACATTTATTCAAATAAGTTACGTTATCTTCTGGTTGCTGCACAATGGTGGAGGCTGGGGTTTCACTTAACTAGGGCTTATTTGGGGGGTAGGGTTTATATTATGAGCATCCTGAAAAATCATACTAGGGCTTATTTTCAGGTTAGATCTTATTTCCAGGGAAATAGGGTAATTTAAAACTTAATTTAGTTGAGCTGTGTGTATCCATGTGTGTTGGCTGATAAGGTCAAAGATACATTTGCCCCAAACACCCAGAACCCTATTGGTTATTTTCACAAGTGTAAATACAGTGGTGTAAATTTCACAATGAATTGCATCTAGTTAACTATTTACTGCTCATATTCTTCATGGCAGTATAATTGCTGCAATTTATATTGTACTTTGGTAGCGTAAATAACCAATTACATTCTGACCATCAGCTTTTTCCCCCAGTAGCTTCCCAGCTTTGGCTTTGTACATAGACAGGATTGCTTGTAATTTAAATGTGCTAAATAGTGAAATGGTATTCGCTGAAGTTTCTTTACCAATTTGAAACATGGATACAATGATAGACAGTAATTTAAATCAGTCTTATCTGTGGAATGTCTGTTCAGTACAAAGCTCTGACTTTAAATTTTTCTAGAAGGCAAAGGAAGTTTTCCTTGTGAAACTTCTGTGCACAGTATGCACTGACTCTTGCTAGACTCTTCTGGATTGTTTCCTGATCGGGATGACTTGCATGAATATAGTGCAGTTTGAGATACCAAGAAGAGTTTTAGTCCAGTGTAACACAAAAATGCTTTGTCATAAGATTTCTGAAACCTTGTGATTTAATAATGAATCCTTCATGAGCAAGGATTAAGTTTTCTCGGGTATGGCTCATTCAAGGAGTGTGTGCTAAACTAGTTCAATTACTGATGTGGTTATAGATTTAGGTAGGGTGGAATGGACTGAATTGGAGTGAGTGTTCCTGAATTGTGAGAACATAGAAGGTGACTCTTTATAAATGCAATTAATGCATCAGGGAATCAATGCAAGTTTTGGTTCTGCTTCTCTTTTAGTTAATCTTGTGTACTTTTGTAAATTGTGTTCAACACAGTATGTTTGTGCACAGTTTGTAGTGCTCAGATTTTGCAGTGGGGTAAGCAACCTGACACCTTCCAAATATGATGGTCTGCATACACACCCCATCTGCCCCAGCCAACATAATCAATGGTCAGGATTGTGGGAGATGTAATCCAAAACATCTGGAGGCACAGAGTTGCCTAACCATGCTTTCATCCCATGTTTAGAACTTGAAAACTCTTAAAAAACTGAAAGTTTGTGAAAATGTTTCCGTGTACTGTATGAGCCAAAACATATACAGTACTTGTTAAGAGTTTTAAAGTGAAATAGTTGTGATAGCTATATTTATTTCTGCCCTAAATACAGCACAAGTTAAATTTCAGATTAAATTCTGTGGGGCAAGTGTGTTCTTCAGGCAGTTTTTTTTAAAAGATTATGGGTTTAATATTCACATGGAGAAGAGATCCATAGAAAACAGTATTGAGGTACTTCTCACAAACTGTTTGAGATGAAGAAAAACAATACTGTATTCTCAAAAAACAGTACTGCTTGGCCATGACTGATTTGTTCAGGAGGAGTAAAGTTTTCATTTAAGAATTTCGAGAGCATTTTGACTACATAATCAGATATTAAAGCACACTGAGAGGTGACCAGTAGAATAAATACCATGGAGACAACTTACAGGGAAAAGAATGCAAGCTCCAGCCGAGAATGGCCTGTGTATTTCCAAGTTAACTGACTAGAGAGTTTGAGTGTGTGCTTGTGCATGTATCTTGTGCACCAGTGCAATAAAATAAAAACATAAGGTTTCTCAGGTGGATGCAACGTTTAGTGATGACATTTGTAAAGTCGTATTGTTAAATTATGATGGAAAGTAACCAGCAGTGAACAAGCCATATTAATGATTTCCTAACCACCTTATTGCAAAGGTTTCTTGATGAAGTATACCAACATTCTCTTACTGGTTTTTACCACTTGCAATAGTTATTTCAAAATATTTGAAATAAAAGTAATGCAGTCGATTCTTTTTTCCACGTTTGGCCCGCACAACTGCCATAAAATTATGCACATTTCCAGTGCTTGTAAACGAAGGGGAGAAATCTTTCACCACAGGCCTAATCAACATAGAGAGGATGCAAATCTGACTCATGAAACCTCCCAGGTCATCCTCCTTACAAGCTACTTGAATCTCCACATTCTTGAAATTATAAGGAGCAGGGGAGAGAGAAACTAAGGCAGAGATTCTGATGTACTGTACATCTTATTTGAGAGGGAGTGTGTGTGATACTGGCTGCGCTCAGCAGATATTTTCAGATGCTAATTAAGAGTATTTCAGTGCTCCTCCTCATTTGCTGCATGTGGAATGAGGAGAAGCAAAGCTGAAGATCTGGTTGAAGTTCGTGATGTCTATGATCTCATCCTGCCTTTTAGAGCTGCAGGTGGATTGCTTTGGCTGTCTGCCCAAAGCACAACTAGTTCTCCATCATCTATAAAGTGTTCTGTTGTTCACCAAAAACTGGTTTTATACTTGTTCAAAGCTAATGTGATATGTAAATGTTTAGAATTAATTTATCTACAAAATCGATGGACATGTAATAAGTTTATTATGGCTTCTTGGTTTAAATGATTTGTCATTATGATGGAGGTCAGAAGCTAGTTGGTTCATTATTTGTTTCTTTACCCCACTCAGTCTTTTTACCAATCCATAAAGGTGTGAAGCAAAAGGAAAATAATGCCTCCTCAGATAAAGTGTACTTGCCTGATTTTCTTCCTGAACACCTCACCTTATTCTTCTTGGCAAGAATTGTCTTCTACACCCTAGTGCTTCCCTATGTAGAGTTCTGCCTGGGCCAAAATGTCTAAGCTTTCGGTGTTTTGTATGAAAAAAGAACCTTTAATGGAGCTATGTATATTTTGCTAATATCTGGAAAGGATTGCATTTCTAAGCAGGATATTTTGACTGTTATGCAATGCAAATTGTGTACGCTCAGAGAATGAAAAGTTAAT